CAAGGACGGCATCGGGGGGGGGGGGCAGTAAGCTAGCCCACTCGACGTTAAATGTGCTGGGAACCTCGGAACAAGAGGCGAGTTGTGGTCGACCTCCTCTGCGATGACATGACTCCCTTGCTCACAGGGTGAACAATTGCGATTCTCAATTAAAGGAATCTTCCACGGACCATGGACCAGTGGGCGGGACCGGAAGTGGTTTTGCGACGAAATGCATGGTAGGTACGGATCCACGTTCATGGGAAGGTTTGAAGTGAATCCTGTTCACGTTCGTGCGTTCGACACGTGGATCCGTACCTACCATGCATTTCGTCACAAAAACTTCCGGTCCCGCCCACTGGTCCATGGTCCGTGGAAGATTCCTTTAAGTGCTAGTCCACTTATCAACGACGGCTCTAGATAGAACATCGTAGAAAAGAATCGCGTAGAAAAGAAGTTTTGCCCATTCACAAAAAGAATCGCAGCTGATGATGGGTCGAAAAGTAATTCAAGTATGTAATAGGGGTGAGACGGGAGCATATTTGATGGGGAGCAGAAAGTGATAGCAGCTGATAGGGGCTGATAAAAAGGCGTTGGAACGCAATTGTCACGAAATTCACAGCGAGCACATTGATGCGTTGTTTTGCAAATATGACATAGGGGGTGGGACGGCAACATATTTGGGGGAACCGGAAGTGAACAGTGATAGGGGCTGATAAGGAGCGTTGGAAGGCAAATGTCACTGAAGTTCTTATCCAGATGTGCGATAAAAACATCTCATTTCTTCGCGATGTCGTCGTGATCCATTCGACCGCTAATCTGCCCGAGCTTCTTAAATGGTCGGTGTCTGTGGAAATACGATAAGTATTGGTATTTCTATCTCATCACCGGCATAAGAAGTTATTCGACCGCTAAACCATCCCAACATCCAAAGCATGGTAGATGTTACACTTAGGGATGGTAATAAGCAGCTCAGAAAATCACTGCTTTTTTCATCAGCTTCCGTTAAACCACCAGTCAAATCCACTGGAAGCAGTATGTTACTCATGGTAATAGCCCGGCTACACTCAGTTTCACTGAAGCCTACGTTGACATGCACGCGGTAGTGAGCAGAGCAGAACTGGTAGTAAGTGCATAGATGGCCGCCAATGTCAGAAACTCGAAAAAAAGCACGAATTCGGATTTACTTTTGCACTGAATGATGAGTATCTTTCGAATATATTTGGAAATAGTCTTCTGCGATGCTCCGACTTGACACAGCTTTTTCAGAGTTATCAGAGCACAGTATTAGTTCCTCAGTGTCTCTTCAAAGAGGAAAAGTTTGGGTAAAAGTGTATTTTGTGAGCTGGGTGACAACCGCTTTCTGAGGACTCTAGATTTTGCATGAACATTCAATTTGTGGTCTGTACCTTGTTCGACCAGTCTAATTTGTTAAAAAAGAAAAGGGCTTCTCACGAAGACCACACCCGAAGTGCAACTGGCTCAGGCGCAAGGATTCTCCACCCAATACCAGCACTGCAACTTGGAACGCAGATTTCAATTGATGGAGCTGTATCTGTTTTTGCTGAGAATTCTCACCAAGAGATCCGTTGTTCAATAATATAGGGTCAAGGTTTGCATTATCTAGCCAGCGCTCGCTCACTAGTTGCAAGAAGGTTCAGCAAGAGTCTCCAACCCGT